ACTATATTGTTTTTTCTTCCATACATCACGTCCCGTACATATGTTATTGTTACTACACACTTCCTTAATTTTATTCAATCATGACTATTTCATTTTCATTACCTTTTATCCTTCCTATTTTACTTGGTTTGTGCAGAATCCTTGAGCCAGGGTCCACACAAACTACTCCCAATATTGTACATACTTATTGTTTGGTTAAGTTTTTATTTTAGTGCTTAATGATATCCTTTGTTCTGTACTGTTTAATTAGGCTTCACAAGTGTTTGATAGTTTTGGTTTACTTGTAGTTCTACTTCCGGGTAATTAATAATTAGGTAAAATATCTTGTTTGATTGTTATTTTCGGTTTTCTTGTGGTTCTGTTTACAGGTTAGGTTAAATATATTTTCTTTAAAACATAACATCACATACATATACTTATTTCACTACACAATTTCTTAACATTTCCACTATATTGATTATTTAATTTTTGTCTTTCTTTAGTTTATACCATTAATTTCATTTAATTTATAATTTATACTTCTTACCATCAATATCATTTGTGAGAGCCCCAGGGGGCTGAAGTCCACCCTACCTGTTTCATATATTTCTCGCCTTTCTCCTATAATTGCTGAAACCATTTTCAAATAATCTAGCTTTTTGTCAATTTTTCTCCACCTTATCATGAATTGCTTTCCAGGCCTCTACTGTAGAATATCCTAGGCTTATCTTGGTTTTGTTTGGACACTTTTCACTGTATATTCCCCTTCTCATGACATTGTTTCATGATGATCTTTTTGTCTCTCTTTTGAGAGTGGATACTTGCAAACCTCACCAAATACAGGCTTCAATTCTTTTTGCCTCAGCTTATCATCAGGCAGATTTTTCTTCCTGATTTTATGTCACTTGCATCTCTGTTAATCCTATCCATTTTATTCCTTCCCTAGTTTTCTTAGATTTCTTTTACCCTATTGACACTCCTACAGTTAATGTTTACCTTCCACATCCTTTCTTTAGTGTTCCACTTATATTTAGGGATTTTCATTGGATACCTCCTCCTTTTTCCCTCCATCATGGGGTGTTTTTCATCGTCAGTTAGTTCCCTCTACATGTGACTTCTAGGGTGGACACTGCTGTTTGTTTATCATTTACTGTTAATAGGGTCTTATGATTAGTTCATTCTCTCCACTGGTCCTTTTTTTGGGGGCTACTCCTGTATATTTAGCATCATGTGGGGTATCCATGATGCTATATTCACATTTTTTTAGTTGCTTTTTTGTTTCATTCTGAGATATTATACTCCATATTCATTTTATATGTTCAGCATCTGCCCATCCTTTACTTGTCTTACCTACTGGTTTTCTTCATTCATCTTGTTTGCTCAATGCTGATTTGAAAAGGTTTTTTGTTGTACAAAACTTGAAGATAGCTTTGATATATGGAAACATCTGTTAGCCAAGTTCTTGCACAGATCTTAAAATGTAATGTTCATAAATGGAAACATTGGCTCATGTAGATCTGGAAAGTAGAGTTGTTCAAAACTTGAAAATAGCATTGATAACTGGATCAATTGTTGGTTGAGATGTTGCAAAAGAAATATCTGCTGTAGCTTTTTGCTAGACACTAATCATAGCAGAACCATCTGGAAAATGATCTATATGAATTAGTACAGCTTATAAAATGAGTCAGATCAATGTAAGCCGGTAAAGCAATCACTGATTGCCGTGTTGCCGTGTCCTTTAGCCAATCAGGAAATGCCACAGACCTACAGAAGAATGTATAGATTGTATAGGAATTCTTTCTGGGGGCAAAGGACAAGTTTATGTGTTTTGATAAAGATGGCTTCCAAAAAAAGAGAGATGACAGGTCGACCGACCATTTGCAGTATTTTTAAACATGCTATTCTTGTAGTTGTCAGCACAAGTCGGG